TTTCACTTTAGCTCTAGTCATCACTGTGATCTTAGCCAACACAGCGTCCCCCATTGTTTTCCGATTAGCAGCTGATTTGAAGTTTGCAACATCTGATATTGGCAGACTCGCTATATCTTCTTCCTTAATCGGTGACATGTACGCTGTGTTTATTTTGGTTATAATCTCCGGTGAGAAACATAAACGAACAGTTAACGGATGGGCATTAATGGCGTTTTGTTCACTGTTACTTCTTGTGGGTATTATCATTTTCACCACACATTTAGTTAACTGGTTGAATCGTAGAAACAGGAACCATAAAAACCTTCAAGCTGTTGAAGTAATGTTGATTTGTTCAGTCGTTCTTGTTGCAGCCATGACTTTTGAAACTATGGGATTTAGCAGCTTAATTGCTTGTTTCCTCATGGGATCAATGTTCCCAAGGGGTGGGAAATCAGCAAGAACATTGTTGGCAATTCTTACATATACAGTTCATAACTTTATATTCCCGATTTACTTTGGGTACACTGGGTTTAAAGCAGATACAAGTTATTTAAATGAACTGAAAAGAGTCGCGATTGTTCTTATGGTTATCTTGTTGAGTATTGGTGGAAAGATCTTTGGTACTCTTGTTGCATGTAAGTACTTGAAGACGCCATTAAACGAAGGAGTCCTTCTTGCTGTTTTGATGAACATGAAAGGGCATGTGGATATTTTGACCTTGACAACAGCTATGCAAAATAAAGTAAGTCCTTCTTCCTTCATTATCGTGATGTAGTACTCCTGTTTAGCAACCTAATTTTCCCTTTTTGTGTTAAAACAGGTGTTGACAAGTTCGATATTTTACAACTTAATGGTTTCAGCAGTGGTAATTAGTTCCATAATCTCAGCAGCCTTAATCGGCTTCTTAGTAAGAAGAGAAAGCGACACAATTGGCATCAAACACATACCAATGGAATATCATAGACCCGATAAAGAACTAAAACTCCTCGCATGTGTTCACAGTCGTCACCCTGTAAACACCATGGTACGCCTCATCGTATCCCTAAGAGGATCCGACAATGTTCCAATTTCCCCCTACTTAATGCACTTAATCGAGCTTCCAGAAAAGATTAAAAAAACTTCAGCATCATACGAACAGTTACAAGATGATGAATCCAGTGATGATGAAGAGTACAACTATAGTAAAAACGACATTGTGGAAATAAACGAAGCTGTTGACATCTTCATTGAAGAAACAAATATGATGATTCATCAAGTCCAAACAGTCTCGCCTTTTATGAGTATGTATGAAGATGTTTGTGATTTCGCTGATGATATTAGGGCTTCGTTTATTGTTCTTCCGTTTCATAAACATCAAAGAATCGATGGGAAATTTGAGAAAGATAAGGATGGAATTCGAACTACGAATCAGAAAGTATTGAGAAATGCTCAATGTTCGGTTGCGATTCTGGTGGATAGGGGGCATACGATTACAGGGACACAAGTTGCAGGGTCTGAATCGTTACAACAGATTGCGACTTTGTTTTTTGGTGGGCCCGATGATCGGGAGGCGTTGGGGTTTAGTAAACGGCTTAGTACACATCATCATACGAGTCTTACGATTGTTAGGTTTTTGCCGACATCTGCTAAAGATCCTAATGTTGGAATTGATGTTTCCCAGAAAGAAGATAATGTTTTGGTGGCGATTGATAATGAATCAGAGGTTGAGGAGGCGGATAGTTCTGCTTTAGCCAATTTTTATCATAGGTATGATATGATAAAATTAGGACTATTAACATTATTTTTTGGAAAGAAACTATCCACAGTCTTTAAATAATCATCAAAAGCATATTATTACATTAAATGAACTATCTTTTTATGCTTTCCACCTGTTATACCAGGTCTAAAAGTAGCAACATATCGATTTTTATATTTACACTTTTAGCCTAAGCTCTAAATCTTGTTATATATTTCGTCAAAACTTCAAATTTTATCTTGAATTTTGGTCCAACCTTGTTTTTTATTTACACTTTTCAGGTATGTAACATCTGGGAAAGTGAGATTTGTTGAGAAGTATGTGGAAAATGGGGTACAAACAGGGATGATATTGAGGGACATGGCGGAGACATACTCGATGTTTGTGGTGGGGAAAGGTGGGAGAGGTGACTCGCTTTTAACTACGGGGATTAGTGATTGGGAAGAATGTCCGGAGCTTGGTGTAGTTGGTGATTTTTTGGCTTCTAGTGAATTTGATATCAGTGGTTCAGTTTTAGTTGTTCAACAACATAGATGAATCTTGTAACATGTGAAGATAAATTATTGAGAATGTCCTCAAAGTAAGGAATGAACATGAACTAGTAGATTCTCATAAGTTAAACCATAGAAGCTTTGCGATAGTGGTTGGGTTTTGTGAGGTTGAAGGAGAATCTTTTGGCAGTTGGTAAGGAAAGGAAAGGAATTGGTAGATGGGTTTGTATAGTTGTATGTAGATGCACATTTTCTTTTCCTTATCGTGCTACAAACAGTGAAGCCACGAAACAACTTTAGTTTGAATGTAGGAAATGGAAATGAGAGATTGAATTTATCCATTTTTCTTCTTAAATAATGGTTTTAGATGAACCATGTGTTGCAGATCTATAGCTTCTCTAATATGTTTTTAGAAACTAGTAGTGAGGTCTTATGTTTGGGATATGCTTTTAGGAGTCAAAGTTAGATGTTCATTTATAACAAAATGATGAAAGTTAAATAAAACAGGTTTAATCATTAAAATGACAAAAATGGAAAGTGTTATAATATCAAACAATCACATTTTGAAATTTTATCAAAGAACAAACATTAATTTTTTAAAATTATTATTTTTTGTCAATACGCTTTACGAAGAGTCCCTATAGGAATTATAAAACAAAACCAAATTCTCTCCAAGAAATTTAATTTCGTAAAAAAAACATTTCACAATCTTTTTAAGCTTTTGTAGTAGCATCTCTTCATTTGGTGATTAAAGATGAGGAAAATCTACATAAAAATACTTACATTTTGGCTCTATTGATAAAAAAAAAAGTTTTTTTTTTTTTTTTTCATTGGAACCGGTTATTATTTGCAATTGAGGTTTATTTCCAAGTAACCACATACAATAGTATGTATCGATGGTTAAATTATAAGAAAAATATCAAGGGTGGCTTATTCAAGTCATAAACTTTGTAACGCGTTCATATCAAAATTAAGCATCAAATAGGATTTGTGCTTATTTAGTCACTAAACTTTGTTTAAGTTGTAAAAAGTCATTGAACTTGTTATTTATTTATTCAAAGTTTTTACTAAAACCTGATGTCATTGGTCATAAGGACCCCTGAATAAAAAAAAAATGGTTTAATAACCTTTCACGACTTAAACAAAGTTTAGTGATTATATGAACACAAATTCAATAGTTTAGTATCTAATTTCGACATTAACCCTTTTTTCTTTGTTTGACTAGTTTTAGTTTTTTTTTTAATACATTGCAGATCACGTTGATCATCAAGAATCACATTAGTTTAACGTGTATACATTACATTGGCATATCTAATTAAAAAAAAAAATTAACAGTCTAATAGTAGAGATGTACGGTTAAAGTTTAATAAAAATGTGATGGAGTGTGAAGAATGGATTAATTCTTGTATGTTTATTAAGCTTGAGGTGATGATGAATCATGAATACTAATTTTAGAAGTGTGGTTAGTTAAAAGTTAGACTTCCATGCCGATTGGGTGGTCTAAATGCAACATACTTTCATATATTGATGTAGATATAATTTTTGAGGTTCACTATAATTAAATTCTTATTTATTAGTAGAAAGTTGTATCTTTTTTTTACAGGATTTGTGAATTATGTTTAAATTAGAAGTAAAATAGTTATAAAGATGATCATATTTCTATATTTTATAATTTATATATTTAAAAAGGACTTTGAATCTTGTATATGTATTGTTACCGAATTGTTGTCACGGATCACTCTTAATTAAAAATAACAAGTCCAAGTGACATTTCACAACTTAAACAAAATTTAGCGACTAAATTGACACAAATTCAATACTTAGTGTCTATTAATTTCGACCTTAAACATTGTGAAATAACCATGAATTTTGTTACAACTTATTATCGCAATGCACTGAAGAGATATTTCATAAAATTGTTAAGGTCGAATTAGCAATAATAAGTTTTTTTAGTTAACCAATCAGATTATTTTCAACTTGGTGCTTTTTTGAAATGCCAAAAGAAGACAATATTATCAAATAAAACTACTATTTTTTTTGTTGTTAGACTGTTCCAAAAATCGTGATTAAGCCCCTATGGACTACTGCTATACTTCTATCAACTCGTTAGCATGCACCACATGATAATGGATTAATAGCCTGAGTTCGAAGTATACTCTTTTTAAGGTGTTTGGATGTGTTTATAAGATCATTATTGTAACTTTTCAAATTAGATAGTCAGCAAAGCGATTAAAGTTGACGAAAAATGTGTAGTTTTACCTTAATTAACTAACAGTTTTGTTGCAACTTTTCCGCAACTTCTTCGTATGCACCTGTGGCTCTGTTTTGAGCACTACATATATTACCAAGTTTATTTTTCTGCAAATTAAAGAACCATTCTCCAAAATAATAGTTATAAGAACTACATAAACTTATGTCTTAAAAAGTTGTAAATTACTTGCATTGTGTATCAAGTTTATTGTTTAGGTAGAAAACACTACAATTAATAATCAGCCAAAAATCAAGCTGTTCAAGCCAGGACCAATCCGACCTTCCGCAAGTTCAAGTCCAAAACCAAACGTAATATACCCCAAATCCCATGATATTACAAATAAAAATAAAAATAATAATAATAAAACGAGAATCACATTTTTCATGTTGGTCATAAACTAGGATGACGATCATAGTAATTGATGTAAGCCAAGGTTTATACTTTCATTAATCTCAACTTTTCCTCTTGTACATTCTAGATCCAAAAGGCCTCATCTCCTACAAGTACTTGCCCTCTTCTCTCACAAACTAACCAAATCAACATGGCTAAGAAACCATTAACAATTCAAAAAACAGTGCTACTCACTATATGCCTAGTCCTTTTTAGCGTGTCAACAATAGCCTCAAACAAGGCAGCTACTAAACCCATGCAGCCCGTTTTCATATTTGGTGATTCAACAGTGGATGTTGGCACAAACAACCACCTCAAAAACTGCACCGCAAGAGCCAATCACCCATATTATGGGATCGATTATCTACAGTCGAAACCAACCGGAAGGTTTAGCAATGGACAAAACGCTGCTGACACTATCGGTATATAATCAATTTCTATATATAGTACAAACTAGTGTTACATCAGTTGGAGGTGAGAACAAAGCATTCCTTATAAGGGTGTTGATATCTTTCTTAACAAAAAGTGTTTAAAAGTTGTGATAACAACAAATCCCATGAGAAATCGGGCACACCCAATAATATTGTTGGTGTGCTCTACAATTTACCCCCCACAATGGGCCTTGGAAGAGGTTTGGTGTGGGCCGTGTAGAGGATATTTTTCACATTTTCTTTTAGAAATTATTAATATGCAAATTCAAGATAATTATTACTTGAATGTGCAGTGACACTTTTGGGTGGCTACAAACATAGTCCGCCTCCATTTCTTGCACTCCTTAAGAATAGTTCCAGCTTCACGGGAAAAATTCTTCATGGGGTGAACTTTGCTTCGGGAGGTTGTGGCCTTGATAAAGAAACGGGGAAAGATCCTTATGTAAGTCTTTCCTCTATTAATAGGGAATACAACTAATTAGAGAGTTCTTAAGAAAATTGCAATTTTTACCCTATTAACATTGATCGATCTTATTCTAATGCATACCAAACATAATACAAGGTGACTTGTTCTATCATATACTGTCTTTACTACTATTTGATGTCCATGACAAAAGTACGAGGCTAATACAGGGGGTAGTTGTATCTTTGGAAGAGCAAATCCAACAATTTGCAACTGTTAAAGGAAACATTACCGCAATACTAGGTGAGTCAAATGGTCAACTTTTGCTTCAAGGTTCAATGTACATCATGAGTATTGGAAGTAACGACATCATGTCCTACATATTCACTCATCCTGTAACTCCCGAGCTTTTCATCGCCAACCTTACAGCGACATATGCCATGCATCTAAAGGTTCCATGATATTTGTCAATACCATCTCCAGATTTTAATTTTAAACTTTTTACTCATGTTATATTATTTCATTTTTAAAATTACAGAACTTATATAGCCTAGGGGCAAGAAAGTTTGGAGTAATAAGTGTTCCACCAATTGGATGTTGTCCAATTGCCCGTTCATTCTCTCCCGTTCGTGATTGTGCAAAGGAGCCTAACGACTTGGCTATTGCGTTCTATACACCACTTGAATCCCTTTTGAAAAACTTGAGCTCTACACTTGAAGGATTCAAGTATTCGCTTGGGAATGCATACAATATGACTATGAATATCATTGAAAACCCAATTGGTAAGCATAACTTAGTCTTTGGTGTGCACTAATCGAAAATGGAATAGAATGGAGCAGTAGGGTGGAATGAAAATATTATGTTTGTTTGTCGTATAGAAATATAATGGTAATGTGATTACTTGGTTGATCTTCATTTTAAATGAAGGGGAGGTGTGTTTTGATTCATTCCTATATATATATATATATATATATATATATATATATATATATATATATATATATACATGCGAAAATATAAATATCCTGCGAAAACGCGAAAACAGCTTTTATCTTATGAAAATTAGATACATGTACTATAAAAAAATAATTTTATTAGCAATAAATTAAAGATAGTAAGTTTACATTAGATGGTGTTATGATAATATAGATTTAAAGACGATTTTTATAATTATATTTTTTTTCACGTCCTTAATCATTTTTAAATTCATGTTTTCATAATAAAAATGTTAAAAATCATACTTTGCTAATATAAAATAGTCTATCATCTATCATCGATTATCATCATGTATTTCAAAGTTTGGATGAATTATTTTCCAAAATATAATGTTGAGGTGACATAATATCATATGGTTTTCTTGTTTTCACGTTTTCGCAAATTATTTGCATTTTCGCATGAACCCTCCCCTATATATATATATATATATATATATATATATATATATATATATATATATATATATATATATTATATATATATATATATATATATATATATATATATATATTCCAAACTTTTATTTCAAAAAATAAAATAAAAAATCATTATCCATGCTTAATTTTCTAACATCATGTGTGTATAATATTACTCATACAAATATATCATGTGTGTATAATATCATGTTTAATATTTTAATAAAATATTATACATGATAAATTTTTATAATATTCTACACACATAATGTTAAAATATTATATATGGATGAAGATTTTATTATTATTATTTTTAGATTTTTTAAGCAAAAGGTTTTAAAAAAATATTAATTTTTTTCCTTTATTTAATTCTTTTTCAGTTTTTATTTTATTTTTTTGGCATCCTTTGACCACAAGTGAGTCTTATTATTGTCTCACATGAACTTTTATATATATATATATATATATATATATATATATATATATATATATATATATATATATATATATATATATATATATATATAATCTTAAATAACAATAATATATATAGAAAATTTCAAGGCTTCTATTAAATTATTTTTTCTTATATTTCTATTGTAGATATGTTTTAAAATTTCATAGTATTTTTTTTAATTTTGTAAACAATTTTCAAAGTGATAAATATACTCTTTTACTATTTAAAGAACAAATAATATATCAAACGAGCATAAGATATAAGATTTGTTTATATGCAATTTATTTAGATTTATATTTTTCTTTGATTACATTTTACTTTCATAAAATAAGATTAATTTCTTTAATTTATCAATTTTTTTTTTCTAAAAGTGTGCATAACAAACAAAATATTTTAATAGTTTATTCCAATCCTTCAGGCCTATGATCTATTCAATTACCTATTCAATTACTTTACTCGTTTCATTACATCGTCCATTCCTTTCCATTGTGATTCCACTTCATCTTACCAACTAGAGCCTAAGTTTTGTTCATTTATTATCATTTTGATTTCACTCCATCATACCAACAACTAGTCCCTATGTTTTTATTTGCATGCAAATGCTTACATTTTTTGGGTTCTAAAGTAGCTTGTTTTATAGGGTTTAAAGATGTTAAAACAGCATGTTGTGGGAATCACACACAAAAAGGAATAAGTGACTGCAAAAAAGGAGGCTACCTTTGTCCAAATAGGGATGAACACTTGTTCTGGGATGCATATCACCCTTCTCAGGCGGCTGTCAAACTAGCGGCTCGTGAGTTGGTCTTTGGTGAAGATCCGGAATTTGTGACTCCAATAAATTTTAGCACTTTGAGAAAGGCTTGATCTTTAGAAATATGACCAAAAGAGATGAAAAGATCATTAATTTGTATCATCTGTCACATCTTGTATTCAAAGTATGGTTCATGAATAAAATTCAATAGATTTAAGTTATAATGTTTTTTTGTATTTGCAAATGGATTTGATTGAGGCTATGACCTCATATAGGAAATCATGGAAGCTTAACATTATAAAATTTGAATGAAATTTTTTTCCTTTTTTATTGATAAAAACGTAAATACATCATGTTATATATAGCCAAGAATATTACTAGAAAAAGGAAAGACATAAGACTCCTAATTTGTTGCTAAATACATTACATATGGAGCAAGAATACTTGTAAATAAGAAAACTAAAAGAAGAAGAAATCAGAAGTATCTCAACACTTCATCTCAAGTTGGAATGTGAAGATCACGAACACCCAACTTGTTACACATAGATTTAAAACGATCATCTCCTAATGCCTTCGTAAATATATATGCAGATTGAAACTTGGACCGAATAGGACAGGGTATCACATCAACATTGTTTACATTTTCCCGAACAAAATAACAATCCACATCAATATTTTTTTTTCATGATAGAGCATATTGACAACTATGTGTCTACCTGTCTCATTATCACAAACCAAAAGATTCCCACTTAGTTGTATTGCATCTTCACTTTGTAAAAGCCATCGAATCCATAGAACTTCACAAACAATATAAGCCATCACCCTGTATTTTGCTTTAACAAATGATCTTGCCACTACACTTTATTTTTTAGTATGTCAAGATATTGAAGCCCCACCTAAGCTAATGAAGTAACCAATACATGATCTTCTGGTGGAAGGACGAGTTAACCATATGACATCAATATAAGCAACTAATTCAAGATCTCTTGTAGCTAGCAAAAATAATCCTTGACTTGGCATGGATTTAAGATAACACGTGGCTCAAAAAAGGCATCTTAACCAGCTATCATCATAATAAGCAGCTACATTTGACTTTAGTGATGGCAAGCTTCTCTTGGTTCACAATTTCTTCTTTTTTTCTTATTTCTTTGGTGCTTCTTCCAAAATTATTTCTTCTTCTTCTTCATCTTCGAACAACTTTGGACCATCATACTTTTTTCCACTCGTCGGGCTGATTGCACAAACATTATATTTCAGGTATTTTCGGTTTGAGCAGGTAGTTTACCTTGAGATTCTAACTTACTAATTGAAGTAGCAAGCTTTGAAATTTGTTGCTCTATGTTCTTGATGCTTTCTTTTGTCTCTTGTTGGAAGGTTTGGGTGCTAGTGGCTATATCCTTCACTATGTACTCCAAGGACATACTTGATGATCCGGCTTGTTGAGGATGGTGTTGCAACTGCCTTGGCTGAAAATTGTGTGGTGGAAAAGGTGATCTTGGTTGGTATTAAGGTAGTTGACTTGGTTGGTAGCCAATATTTTGGTTGTTATTCAACCCTTGGTTTCTTCAGGGATGATCTTAGTTCCTTTGATTTGGCCCGGTATAACCTCCCCTTGCTTGCACTTATTCCATGTCTTCTTGTGGTTGTGGGCACATATTGGTTGGATGTCCCACTTAAGTAAAAATACCACAAGGACGGGGTGTGGGCTGTACACATTTTTCCTTTGTGAGCATCATGACCACCTTCGTTAATTTGGATAGTTGGGCTTTGATTTGGGAGGGGGGTATTCACCTCTTTTATACATCGTGGTGCATCAGTATACCAACAATCTTCTTGAGAAGTGTGTTTCGAATCTTTAGCCATATTTTTTTATCAATGCCTTAATTTTATTTAGGGTCTTGTCACCAATATATCCTCCACTTGAAGAATTAAGGAGCTTCCTTTCGCATGGTAACATGCTCTCACAGAAGTATTGAAGGAGGGGGAGGAAGGTGGTGTGTAATTTACGGGCGAGGATGGTTGAGGTGGTGATGAGGGGGTTTCTATCTTTGAATCACTTAAGAGAGGAACTTCCTCCCAAATGTTGATCATCGAAGGTATAGATGAAGATGAAGAAGAAGTCTCAGAATCTGGTTGTTCGTTGGGAGCTTGGCTTGCTTGTTTATCATTTTTAATGTTTTCTCAATTTATGTATCAACTGGCAAAAAGGAATCAATGTGAAAAGTGTTGGGTTTTATAGGTTGCATTAAACATACTTTTATAGTAGAATTAACACAAAATCTAATTATGGGCATATGCAACCTATGGATCTATGTCTTTGCATATTATAGCAACATACTATTAAAATTACTAGAAAACCTAGGTATAGTCGAAATTCTCAATTGTATGTATCACTCTTGATCCTCAATTGGTCTTCAGAAAGCTAGATCTAAAACTCTGGATGCCTCTAATATCATACACCTAAACCTTAGAAAATGTTGAATCGGGTTAGAGAGAGAGAGAGAGAAAGGGGGAAAGAGAGATGGAGGGAGGGAGGGAGAGAGAAAGAGAGGGAGAGAGAGTAAGAGAGGAAGGGAGGGAGAGAGAGAAAGATAGAAAGATAAGGAATAGAGTTTTTGGCCTTGGATTTTCAAGAGATAGATGGTCAAAAATTACAACCCTATGGGTCTTTATATAGTTGTCAGGTGTCCAAAGATGAACCCTAATTTGAATATTAAAATAATTCATTTTAATCTTTATTCAAAATAGTTTCCTTATATGCATTTTGAGGCTTCCAGAACTCCTTAGAGAGCCTCTAAAAACCGTCCAGGCTAATGAGGTTCTAGAATCTCTCATTTTCTTAACTTTTCAGAAATTGCAACTTAACCCTTGCACCTCTAATTAATTTAAATTAACCCATAATTAATTTCAAATTAATTCTAATCATTCTGTTATTAAATTATAAATCGTATAATAAATTAATTAATCATTTACTCTCTCTTCTAATATTATTCCTAACTATTTTTGGATATAAGGGAAATATAAAAAGGACTTTGCTCTTATTCATAAGAATATACCAATTTACTTAATACCATAGACACCTTAATCTAACAAAAAGATCTTGACATACACAATTAGCAACATCATGTCCTCGACAACAGTGCTAATTTGTTAGGATGTCAAACCCAACAAATAATAGGATACAATATTGAAAGATCTAGTATGCTCAAGAATCATATTAAAGTGATATTGTTATTTAACATATGATACTAATGGGTCACACTAACAACAACTTGATACAATTGATTATCTATTAGAAATTGATTTTAATAAATATTCAAAAAAAACTCTTATGATTAATTGGAGAAATATTTATTTCCTGGAAGTAATTATTTTACAATTACAAGTAACATATTATTTCATATCGTATGAATTAATAAGTCATGCAAAACCTTTTGGACTAGTTGAAATCTTTTGTCTTTTTCCTAAAGACAAAGTTTATATTTTATAAACCTTGAGTTTATAAAATTTAAACTCTTCTTCTCATTTTCATCACTATTGCCAAAATTTGGAGATGTCTAAGAAGGGATGGTCTTTTAATTAGTTTATTCAAAAGTAGAGGCATGGGAGAAAGCATGGGGACAAGCTTGCTTAAAGGTCTTAATGGTTAAGGACCTTTAGATTAAGTGTATGCTATAAAGTAGTTAGTTGCTTGCATTTTTTGGACACTCTTGTAAGAGTGAAGAAAAGTCATGAGCTCTCTTCTCCCCCCTCCTCTCTTCTTTTGCTTTCAACATTTGAAGATTTGTTGCTTATATTATGCTCTTTTTGAACCATAATTGGGTTTGGTTCAAAGCTTAAGAGCCATATAAGAGTTTTATACAAAAGAACTAGCATTATACATTAAGTTGAGAACTAGCATAATTAATTTCAAATTAATTCTAATCATTCTTGGTGTATCTTAAGTTCATCATTCTTCATCAACTTCCAAGCCTCCCAAGAGGATCCAAAGAATTACAAAGGTTGTTATTTCATCATATTCTCCTTTGGTTGGTGTTTAATCTTTCTATAACTTGCAAGATAATCCTTGGTGGGTTTGACTTGTTTATGTTAATCAAAAAATTATCTAGTCTTCTGTTGCTAACAGTCATGTTTTTGAAGCTAGTTTTTGAATATAAACCCAACAAATATATCCCCAATACACTATTATGATGAACTAAAAAGTAGTACAAGGCAAGCAAGGTCGATCCATAGAGACTCATGGCTAATCTATATACCTCTTTGCGTAAGGTACTTTGGTCACAACGGGAGTTTTGTATGCAAAATGTTAAGTAATGTCAATAACAATATACTTTGAAAACATGCAGAAATTGAAAGAGAGTTGTAAACAATGAATTAAACGGTTCAAGTTCCAATTCTCAGTGTTGTCATTTAACTTGATTATGCCCTGATGCAATTCATTATCACTATTCTAAGTTGGTACTAAAAGATACTAACACGCTTTAATACCTCTCGCTTGCCAAATTATGTAGTCAACACATGCTCTTTGACTAGACCTAGTTGTACTAATTCAACCTAGACACGGTCTTAGATTGTATTGAAAACCCACATTAAGTTTTGTACAAGATTTACAACAATGTTCATTTCTTCTCATACAATTGGAAGTGTGAAAATATGTGATATATGATCTACAATCATATTACTTGTTACCTCACATTAACTTTATAGAATGACCAGGTGTCCTAAAAGTTAATTAACTACATAAGAATTCAATTCATATAAGTGGTCAATCAAACACAAATCAAATACAAGGATTCTAGTTTAAACAAGAACATAATCACTAGAATAAAATCATAAACCAAACATCAAGACATATACTTCAAGTCAAATAATCAACATATTTTGAATAAGAACTAGAAACTAGTGTTTTTAGTCACACATAGATAAAAACAAATCAAATAAAAAGATGGAATTGAAAATTTTTTTTGCTTATAAATTGAATGTAGAAGTGTTTTCAATGATTAAAAGTCTTCAAAATCCTCCAAAAATTGTCTCAAGAAGTTCCAAAAACCGTTCATCTCAATATCGAGCCAAAATTCCTCCATTTTAGTACAAAGAGTAACAACACTCGGGTTAAACGCATGGTCAGGCTCCAGACTGTGAAACGTCTGGTCCATCTTATCTCTATGATCCATGCTCCATCATCCAAATTCCTGTTAGATTTATGTCTACGTCGATAACTATTTTGGTATGTACTTGACCTGAT